TGAATTTCCTTTTGCCATATATCCCCTTTGGTTTGGCCCCTTTGCTAAATATGGACCTTGACCCCATTGTGTTTCTCTTTTGCAGATTATCATTGAAATGCACTTTGATACCTACATTCAATGCTTCTTTGTAATTGGTTGGGTTCTAATGCATCACTTCACCTCGAGCCCAAGTCTACAAACTTGATATGAAGGCATGGAATGCATCCATGTTGCCCATATCTATGACAAGGATCCTCTTCGCCATAAATGCATTCACATACTCTTGAATGGTTCTTGCCTACTTTAGTCTGCTCAACTCATCCCTTAAGTGTAAAGTAGCATTCGGAAGAATGTAGGTTGTGTAAATCCTCATCTCATCATTTCCCAAGTGGTCACTAGTCCTTCGTTGGCCTTTGTTGTTCTCCACCAAGACTTAGCATTATCTGCCAAGTATGGTTTTGCACATGGGACTTTCTCTGAGCTCAATAACCATAACACTTAGAAGTAATCCTCTATATCATAAAACCAATCCTCCACCACCTTATAGTCATTTACTCCTTCAAAGATCGGTTGGGGCTTTTTTTTGTACTTGGGAACTGCTTAGGGGACTGATTCCACTTTGGTTTGTTTGATCTTGTTCAGTTCTACTTCAACCCCCACCAAAGGGTCCATACCTTCTACGCTGCCAACCTCTACATTCTTTTGTTTTTTCTTTCGCTTCTTATCACACTTTAGCTTGCATACAAGGGTCTCTAGTAGGGTATTAATCTATGCCAATTGTCCTTTTAAAATGTTTAATCAAGCCTTGGACAACCGAACCTCTTCACCGGACTCTTATTTAGAAGATTCCTCACTAAAGTCCTCCTCGTGCAAGGATTCTTCATCCATAGCTTTTTGTTCGATTAGAGGCTCTAGCTCTAAAGGAGGTTCTATCTCCACCTTGGTTCTCTTATGCCCTACCTTAGCCATCTCCAGCAATCCACCTTTATGCTTTGTTAAAATTAAGGAAAAGGCTCTGATACCAAATTGTAAGTTATAAATTTTTCTTTTCCAATTTGCTAACTTACCTCATCTATCCGATTACCATCAATTAAGTTCCCTCACTAAGGTTTCCACTTATTGTACCAACTCTTACTTGGTCCTACTTGGTCTTACTTGGTTTCAATCATTCACTACACGAAGAATGGAGTGTTAACCATCCATCCACGGATTCCCAAATTCTCTCTTAATCCCCCTCCCTAGGTTAAATTGGACTTAAGGTTTGGCTATACTCCCCGTAAGCATAAACAGCTAAGCACACCCAGCTATAAGCTTCTGAATTTGGACTTCCCAAGAGGTCACCTAACTCAGTATTATTCAAACCCAAGGATGTTTAACCCCAAAATCCCAAAACCATTAACCGATTGGAAAAGGGGGTGCACTTTTGTTCATAGGCCCTTTCTCTTTATATTTGAACCCCTATAGATTATCTCTTGAGTCGTTCCCTTTAGTTACTTACACCAGCCTCTAGATCCTAACACCCCTTGGTATAACAACACTTGATCATGGGACCCTCTAAATCCCAAACTTTGGGTGCAACATTTGCTTTGGGACATTGGGGGGAAACACCGTGGCCTAACAGCCTAATATAAGTACCCCTACTCCCCCACTTCCATCCTGAAGGATAGGCCCAAGCCCTTAGGAAGGGCAAGGACTAATGAGCCTCAAGATACTCAAATGGGGCATCACTCCACATGAGCCAAGAGCACTGCAGTTAGTTTCCCTTTCAAGAATGGGAGCTACTCTTGAGCACTTCCTTGGTTGGCCTTTCTAGCACCACCCGAGTCCATGCTCACTCCCACCCAAGGCCTTGGACTCTCAGACCCGATCTCGGACTTTGTCTCGGACTCGATCTCAGACTCGATCTCGAACTCGGTTTCTTTCAAGGACCCTTCAGCTTATAACACCTCAGGGAGTTGGTTCCTTATAACTAGTTACTACCGACATTTCCAGCATAAGTTTGTGGAGGTGGCTATTCCTTTGACACGACTGTTATGTAAGAACATGGCATTCAAGTGGAAGAAGCCATAAGAGGAGAGTTTTGTGGCACTGAAATAAACTTTGAAGGAAAGCGCCATTTGCAAGGATATCAGAAAATTCAACTCTGATCTCAAACAAGCTTGGCAACAAGGCAAATTAGAGGGCAAGGAGACGGTTCTTCACATGATGCAGGATTTGCTGCAGGGAATAACTAAGAAAAAACAAGGAATGAGGTATTTTTTTATTTATTCAAAGTTTTTTCCTTACACTCTTAATAGGTACCATGTTTGTCAACAACAAAGCGTGACATGAGAACAAACTTTAGATACACAACAAGTTTGCAATCTGAGATATTTTTGAACCTTTCTAAGGTTTACAAGTTCAAGATGGAGAGTTTACAGCTCAAGCTAGGGAGTGTGCCTGTTTTGATTGTAGAAGACGAAACAGTTATTAAAAGGATGATCAAATGGATTGCTCGTGATGATGCTTTGCTCAGGTTTTGTGGAAAGAAGGGCAAGGGTCACAAGTGTGTGAATGGTTTTGTTGTGAAGGTTGGGAATGGAGAAGCAGGTTATGAACAGATCACCTAGGCTTTTCTGGACAACGAGAAAGCTCACTATACACTAGTGTTGATGGTTAATCCATTGCACAGACAGTTGTTGTGCTTGGTTCTCTCTATTCATCTTATTTGCAATCGGTTTACAGCTTCAGATGTTCGACAACAATGGAACTCGATCCATCAAATATGGGGACAGCACCTTCACAATGTTGTTGGCCCCCTGATTGGCCATTCATTAGATGGAGATCAGAGAAGGTGTAAACTAATGCTTGAAGACATGAGTCTGGGGGATACAACAATAGGAACTTACTCTGTACCTTGGTCAGGGTGGCTATTCTCTGGAAGGTGGAACTCAATAGGAAACCTTTTGATACATGATCAAGACTATGTGCATAATGGGAAGAAGCTGATCAATCCATTGCATAGTGCAATAAAACAACTGTTTCTGAGGGATGAGTTTGTGCATTTGAATGACATTTGGGAAGTTTTCGAAAACTTTCATGGTAAACACGGACTGCAACTCGGGGATGTTGTGCACTCTGATAGACAAAATTGGGGTGCTGCTTAGCGACTTTGTAGCAGGCCAGTGCAAGTTTGTCTTTAGATTATGCGAGAAACAACATACAGAAAACCTTCACGTATGCTGGGAACCGAAACTTATTTTGCTGTGGTGGCATCATATATTGATATCTTTTTGCACTTGTACTTGAGCCTTGGAGAGTGAGTGAGAGTTACATCAATGGTGTCCTTCTTCTTTCATTTATGGAGGTTGTGGATTCTGAAGGAAAGAAAGTGGAACCTAAAACACAACTTCATCAGCAAGGAAACCTTCTTGGACATTCAATTATCATGTCACTTTGTCGTCCTTCTAATCAGGTATGTTTCATATATATTTTTCTTTTGTTAATTTTGCTTTTGAGATAGATATTTCCAGGATCACCATTCACATTTGCCAGTGCCAATTAATAGAACCGGTTTTGACATTTGTGAGAACTTTTTCTCCAAAATAGGAGGAATGATTGGGAATGAATAGTGTTATGATGGAGTTGATGTTGTTCATAGTGCGACTAGTATGAACATGCTAGCAGAATGCGAGGCAGCAGGTATATTGTTTTTCTCTAAAACTCATAGGAAATAGGAAAATATTTGGGAAAAGATAGAGCATGAAGGGAAGAGAGTAGTAGCAGACTTAGGGGATTACAGTTCGGTGGAGACAGATGCTTTGATAGTTAATGAGTTGATTCAGGGTAAAGCCAAAGCACAAGAACTTCTTCATGGCCTTGGATATCTGGAAAAGATTGGTGGGATAAACTTGAAGATTTTGAGGATTTTCACAAGGTTTCAGAAAATTCCAGAGAGCATGATATAGTCAATCAGTTTGAAGAGGAACATATAGTAGGAGAAGAAGCTACTGAAGAAGCTACTGAAGCAGCAAGTGAACTGAGGCATACTTTTGATGCTGTTCTGGATCATATTGAAGATTCTGAGTCATTAAAAGTGGAAGCAACAATTTTGGTTGACAGGAAGAAAATCTGCAAGTCAACCATCGTTTCTCAGCTAAATTGAAATCCATTTTTCTCCAAAGACTGGTTCACACGGGTTAAGAATAACTTGACAGTTTATGAACCAGGAAGAAATCTCAATGCACAAACAGCTCTTCCCGTTGGGAGTGATTGTGTATTGTGGTTCGAAGAACAGGAAGGAAGTCATTTGAAGTTTGTTTAGTATGTTGGTCGAATTCTTTCCATGAGGATAAAAGTGAACAATACCTAGAGGGACACAAGGGAAGTGATTAAATTAACCAATCTTTTAGTTGATTCTACTGATTTTCAAATTAACCTATGCTACTATAGGGAATGTGATGCTCCTGAAGCTGATGACGAAGGGAATTCATGGTATACATACAACCTTCCTGATAATATGCTAGTGGAACTGACAAATTTGATTGCTTTGGCATCATTATCATATCATCTAGAAGTTGAGAGATATTCGCTTCTACAACATGATAGGGAAGTTTTTGATAATTTCATCAAAGATAAAAGCAGGAATATCAATTGTCGTAGAAGGGTGAAATAATTTTTTTTATTAATGGAAATATATATATATATATGCTTTATGCAAAAATAACCAGAATATTCCATGTATATATAAGAATTGAGGGTTTATTTAAGATTTGAAAAAATGCGTATATGTAAAGGTATGGGGCAAATTATGAACAACAGAAAAAGTATACTAGGGCCCGTATTCTAAACTTCCAGAATGCAGATGATATATAATGCTTATAAAGAGTGAGCTTCCAGGATGCTTGACACCAAACCACGTCTTGCTCTGGATTGTTCAAGAAGCCCACGAGTGCACTCGGCTGGTGGATGAAAAGATGCAGAAACCTCTCTTGGGGCTCCATTGCAACGTTTCTGAGGTACTATGAAAGAGCAGATGATTTATCAACCAGTTTGGTTTAAGAACTCAGAGTAGTTCAACAAGAATAACTTTTTAAAACTTCTAATGCCACAAACATGCATCACATTTTACTGAGTACAAGCGGCACTCCATGCATAGGCTTCAAGCCAAACTTCGTCACAGGATTATGGCGGTAGTTCGGTGAAAGCCGGAACAAGAATCGCTGTAGTATCATAGCCAGAATGACTTTGGCTTCGATCATCGCAAACGCCTGGCCCACACACACCCGCGGCCCAAACGAAAACGGCATGAAAGCATTGGGATGCTTGCACGCACTTGAGATCCCATCTTTGAAGCGATCCGGATTGAATTGGCCTGCATCTTCTCCCCAGAGCTCCTTATCCTGATGCAATCCAATGATTGGAAACGACACAGATACTCCTTTTGGAACGTGTAAATCTTGCAGCCAAGACTCCTCCACACACTCCCTGGTCATCTCGATGGCTGGTGGATACAGACGCAGAGTTTCGTAAAGGATCATTCCCACCTGTTCAAGAATCAAGAAGTTAAGTTTTGGAATTAGGAGATATTGATCGACTTACGAGCTTGAGCCTGCTGACACTCTCGCCATCAGGAATCTCATTGCCACATACTTCGTGTACCTCAGCACGGGCTCGTTCTTGCCATTCAGGATAGCCTCCCAGTAGCATCAAAGTCCAGGTTAGTAAGGTGGCTGTGGTCTCATGCCCCGCAATGTAGAATGTCTTGCATTCCTCTATCAGATCCCTGCTTGTGAAATTACTGCTGCTGTCACACTCCTTTAGCATCAGTCCGAGTAAGTCATTCCCGTATGTATTGCTCCCCCCTGACTTCACTGAGTTCCGACGCTCGTCTATGATCCCAGTGATCACAGAATCCAACTCCTGATGAAGCTTCCACAGTTGGAGGTTGATTGGAAGTGGGAGAAACCTGTAAGCAAGTGAATATGATTCAGTTCAATAGATGATCCAGCATACCTGAAGCCTGGAATCCACGAAAAGCTGACGAGTTTGGGCAGTAGCTCTGGGATTTTCTTAGACAATATCTCGAAAACTCTCTGGCCT